ACTGATGATGTTTCTAGAGCCCCTCTAAAGGAAATATCATTACAATATGATGAAATAAAATCCGAATATCCATGATAGGAATATATTTTGAAACATCCACGAACCTGTCGATTTTATTTTTGAAACACCCTAGTAATAGTCAAGAATGTCTCGCAAAACAATGTCGTGCCACATTGATTTCTTCTGTTGAAAGACATCGTATGACATCCATACGACCCATGAAAGTCATTATACACAAGGTGTATATAATATTCTTATAATTCCACTTTTTATTTTGAGTCTCCATGTTTGAAATACAGTAAATCAGAGTTTTAAATTTAAAACCCTTTGAACGTAACGAAATTCAACTTCTGTAAAAAAAAAAGAGTTCATATTCTAGGTGTTTCATTTAAAAAACAGAAATAAGTACCCATTGATTTCCAATATAATCTCCGAGAAAAGAAACTAAAATATATTCATTGAACAGAGCTTTGATCGAACTCCTCTGATGTACTTCGTGCGTAGGCCTCAGAAAGCAGGGTTGTCAGGAATAAATTTATATCAAATAGGTCAGTGATTTATTTCGTGAATCAATTCAAATGACTTATTCAAATTTGAAAATGAGAGCAAAGCGCATTAATACATTTGATTCAAACTAGTTCAAACTGAAGAAGTCAATGGTATTGTTTGGCCTACGGTTCATGCTGCAAACTCCATTCTCGTGGGAAATTACTATAATTTCGTGCTCGTTGAACAATTTATACTATTTTCCCATAAGTTACGTACTTTTTATGGATGATACTATGGATCCCGCAGCACTAGCTGCATACACAGTGTAATTCATAGAGTCGGCATTAGAGGTCGCAAAGTATCAATACTGGTATGTATCGATACTTCGTTACTAAGCGCACCAAAATATCGATATATCGATACTCGGCATCGATACTTCGATACTCTGCCCAGTATCGATACTACAAAATACAGCATTACATCAATTATCAATTGTTGAAAAGTCAAAAGTGTCACTGTCCCACATTCGAAAGTAGCATAAACATAAAAAAAATATTTACGGAGGTATAGATATATCCAGAACTCTAAATTCTATGCATAGATCAGAACTCCAAACCGAAGGTCACAGTTGGCATTCGATAAATATAATGTCATCTGTCAGTATCGATCAGTAACGATACCAAATGAAATTTATCGATACTTGATATTTTATTGATAATTTATTTAAAAATTCAACTCGAGCGCTGAGTTTTGCTTTAGAAAATATGAAAAATGTACTAATTGTTCGGGGTCAAGTGACTTTCGCTACATATCATAAGTTTTCTTGTTTCAAATTTATCAAATTTATGGGCATATTCGTTTGAATTTCGAAAAAGTTTACTGAGAAAAGTTGTTTCTATTCCCATTATGTTAGGTTAGGTTAGTTTTTGATTTTTTTCGATTTCTACAAATTGTCTCTGTGATATCGAAAAAAAATAACACTGACAAAACTACTTCATTCTAGTAGTTTCATCGGGCTACTAAGTTACAATCACTAATTATCGACAAAAAAATAATTCAGAGAATAATAATCTCCGCTTCAGATGTCTGTTATGTTTGATGCAAAGTTGAAAATCGTGTATTATCCGGGAGCAAAATCTAGTCAAATTGTTTTTTACAGTATCAAAATGATGCCAGAGTCATCTATCAAAATATCATCAAACTAGGTACTTTACTCGGTACTTTACGTATTTAGCCAAAGTTGAGGAGAGTTTTGTCGGATTTAACAATTGAAAGCAATCAAACAACATCAAGAAACAAAAGTTGCACTAGAAATTTCAAAATCGAGACACATGTATAAAAATGAAAAGGAAACAACTTTTCTCCGTATTTTTTTTTTCAAATTCGAACAAATGAGCCTATTTGCAGCGATTGATTTGAAAGGAACTTTTGACATGACATGACTTATTTGCTATCATGTGACTTCGACCGTGTAGGCAATTTTTCATGTTTGTAAGCAAAACTCGACGCACAAGGCGATTTTAGATTATCAAAAGTCTTCCCCAGAGGATGTCAACTTCATGAATGACATTGTAAATTCATTATTTTGAATTCATTCGATTCTTTCAATTCATTCTTGTTAAAATTGCATGTTTTGTTATGCTATATTCTCGGTTATACTATCAGATTCTTCATAGGGGAATGGATACTCTGTTTTTTTTTTTTTTTTCGAGTGACTTGATTCAAAAAGTCGGACTTTTAGACTTTTTTTATGAAAGTCATGACGTAGTTATTCCACAACCCTGTCAAAAAATCGAAATGCACAAGAAACACCCTGTCTACCGACCAAACTCGAACGCACTAAATTTCCGCCACACCCCGTATCGGAGCGCCCGGCTTTGCGCAATGCCGTCGCGACGCCGTAACCTCGGCTCGCCGCCGGCGTCCCGATGCCAAATCTGAACTGCATTTCGACCACGCTGGATGGCTGGATAGCGAACTGGGGCGAAATACCACCTGGCACCGCTCATTTCACCCCCTCGTCCGTGGAGGAACGACCCGAATAGATAGTGATAAAACAGTGCCTTCGATTATCATTTTCCACGTGGAGTTACATTTGCTAGACGATCTGCGTGGACGCTTACGTAAAGTTCTTCTTTTGGTTAGTGCGATAGTGAGCCGATAAAATAAGGTGAAATTGTGTGCATCTTGTTTGATTAGTGGAATACAGTAATCGGCGACCTGAATCATTGTGCACTGTACTGAATGTATACTGAACGTGGACATGTCATCACATGCTGAATGAGCTGTGGGTCGAAATAATGTCGACGTTTCATTCGCCTTCGAAACTACATAGTAATCATGAATATTGAATCTCAACCTTTCATTTTGAAATAACGGTTAGCAGTTGTTAATTTTCAACAATGTGTATCTCGGGATGTTCAAAACGTTGAAAATAACTCAACAATTGACACAAATTCAAAATTTTGCGATATAGTGAGTTGTGAAATTCGATTTGTCAAATGATATTGTTTGATCATCCATGGCACACTTTCAATCAAGATCACGGTGGGGATCCTAAAAAGTCAAATATTCATGAAGTCCTTAGTTTAGTTATGTTTTATTCGAGATGAAAAAGTTGGTCGTATTTCCGATCTGACCGTAGAATTTTTTGGTCTGCTACGCATTCATCAAAGTAAGGTTAAAACTTGAAGTTATTTTTACAAATGTTCCCAAAAATGAATCACAGTGATAAACCAATGCATTCGATTATTATTTTCCACGTCGAGTTACTTTACTACCTACATTTACTAGACGATCTGCGTGGACGCTTACATAAAGCTTATTATTTGTCCAAGAATATTGAATTTTAACTATTCATTCTTCATAAATTGTTGGTTGTTGTTTATTCTGAACAATGTTCATTTTCAATAAACAAGTCTGCCTTCGTTCACATGATTTCAATAAATTTTTCTCTCATATGATACACACGTTTCATCAAGATATTCTATATAACCTATGGTGAGGATGCAGAAGGTTCAAATTTCTTGAAGTCCTAAAAAAATATGATCTTTTCGAAATGAAGAAGTTGGTCGTTTTTTCGATCAAACCGTAGAATTTTTTGGTCTGCTAGTTGCTTAATATAGGTACGCATTCATCAAAGTGAGGGTAACACTTGAAGTTATTTTCCCATAGATGAATCACAATAATAGATTATGAAAGTAAAGAACTACTCCTCTGATTTATCACTGCATACAGTGATATACCAATGCTTTCAATTATTATTTTCCATGTGGAGAACCGACATTTACTAGACGATTTGCGTGGACGCTTACGGAAAGTTCTTCTTTGTCCAAAAATATTGAATTTCAACTTTTCATTCTTGATGAATTGTTGGTTGTTGTTTATTCTGAACAATGTTCATCTTGGGACGTTCGAAACGTTGACAATAAACAAGTCTGACTGAAAAATGCTTCGGAGCCGACTGACGAAACATTTGTTGATTTAGTGAGCTGTATAATTTTATTTGTCAAAACTTCCATATCTAATGGTTGAAAATCAGTCATATTATTTGATCTTTCATGACACACACGTTTCATCAATAACCTACGGGGGAGATGCAAAATATTGAATCTACTCACTGAATCCTCATTTGAGGAAACAAAGTTGTCAATTTACTCCCATTGATAAAATCATATCTGTACCATGGGAGCAAAGGTTCATTTCCTTCCATGTGTGTTAAATGTTTTTCTACGGCTATAACACAAAATTGCTCTTGTTTTACTGTGTTCTATACATCAATGAGGTTCTTTGTATGTCATCAATTTTATTTTCGTGTCTGATATCACAATTGTGTTATTATTTCAAAAAAATCTCATCGCCCATGGAATGTCAAATTGCAAGCAATGACAGCTCTGTGTAATAGACGAGCATTACTTGACAGGAAATCAGATGGCTACAAGCTGAAGAAATCGAAAATGCCGCTGTTATCTGTTACACCCGTAAAAAAATTATAGTGTATAACTTGCAAGGAATGCTATCATTCCAAGCTCGATAAACAATATTCTATTCTCTGTTCATGCGATGTACTTATACATGAATTGAAAAATTTCGTTCCCTTGCAATTGTTTAAGACGAACCCAAGAATAAAAGTTCCTAAAGTTTCAAATGATCTCATAGTTGTTTTCCACTTTATTATTAATGCTCCTGTCTAGAATAATATTCACTAACAGGTTCAAAAAATAATATACTATTGCACCATGTGCTCATGACATAATCGACATTTCTAGGATGTCACGCATTTCGTTGAACCAACTTGCTATCTCAAATCCTTTAATAAAATAAAATATGCTTTCTTGTGTTACTGTACGATATTTTTTGGCACCGGTTGTGAGGCCGAATGTAAAAATAGCTCACCCGAATTTCACTTCGCAATGAAAATTCACAGACAGTAGAACGGTACTGAAAAACATAGACCACGTTGTTTATAAAAACTCAAACAGCATTCATTCAATTATCATTTTATGTTCTAGGCTTTTGAAAAACCTGAAGGAAAAACACGAAAATATTGAGAAGGACCTGCAAGACATTGAAAAAGCTTTGTCAGACATTGCCCAACAAAAGGTCGACTTGAACACTCTCAAACAAAAAGTCATCAACTTCTACGTCTTCGACGAAAACCTTCAAAAAACAGAAGAACACTTGAAGAATCTCCAAAACGAAGTAACAAGCATCACCCAGAAAGTGAAAAACTTTTCGTCAACGCTCACAAGCGAATACACCACATCTCAACGAGTTCTACCCTCAGACATTGCTCAAGAGCTGAACCAACTAGAACTTTTGACTGAAGCAATCGCCGTTGCAATGGAGGAGAAAGACAGAGAATTCAAGAAAGCAAGGACGGTTAGAACCGACTTCAACCACGACGTAGAAGAACTACAAGTGTGGATAAAAGACGCCGAGCTCAAAGTACAAGATAGATCTCTCGAACCTCAGCTGCTGCATGAGCATCTGCAGCAGATACAAGCTGAAATGGGTAGCATGGCCGATAGGCTAGACAAACTCACTCGGAACGGCAAGATCATCATCGAGAAGACGATAGATGAAGAAGAAAAATCGTTGGTTCAATCGACCATCGATAATTTGAGTGAACAATTGGCGCAGGTCAGGTCGTGGCTTGAGGAAAAGCGCCAGCAAGTTGGTGAAATTCTTGACGCTTGGGCCAGATTCATGAGCTTGTATCAAGCTGTATTGGGGTGGGTGCAAGAGAAAAGGGAGTTCCTTGAAGTACCGTTGCGGCTGAGTAGCCTACAGGAAGCCAAGATGAAATTACATGACTATTCAGTAAGTATCATTTCCGATAAAGAATCTACTCCTGATTACAATGAGGTCGTGCTTCTATTACGACATTCAAGGACGATTTCACAGACTGGATGAACCTCTGAATTTGTTCATTCGAGGCATTCTTTCATTGTCATGTATATAAATATTGATGTGGGTAATATGGGTAATAGATTTTCGAAAAATATTGAGAACATACTCAGTCCATTCATCCCCGAGTAGGGTTCATTCTGGAGCTCTAAGGTGCTGATGATATGCATCAGGAAGATACAGTTTCTTCATGATAGTGTAAGTCAAAATTTATAACTTTTTTATCGTTTCTTCAATTTTTGGTTAGCTCTCATGAGAAATTACTACAATAGGTTCATATGATGAAATTCTTTACATACATTTTCTTTTCTATCGGATTTGTAGTGATATGTCAGGAATCACAATAATGTTTACCAAAATTATCAGAATAAAAAATTAGGTAAAATTCGTGATGAGAATCCCTTATCAACTGTCGCCAATGTATAACTTATTGCAATAATTATGATATTTGCTAATAAAAGATAGTCAAATAAGTAAGATATGGCTCAATTTGAAAGAATTTTTGTCATATCATTATATTTACTAAGATAACGTGGGGAAACCATGTTGCCATCAATCTCTACAACGCCTTGCAGTTCCTTAACGAATCCTACTCAGAAGTAGGGTCCTTTCATGCAAACTGACGTATTTGTCATCTCAACAGGGTACGGACAGATCCTCGTCTCCTCTCACTCAAGTGTTTGCGGTATATTTATATAGTTCCATCCTTGTTCAATTCTAGTGATAAACACTAAATTTCTGATATTTGTTGATTTTTATATTATATTGAGGACATTGCCGTATCATACGTAATTTCCACATCGAATTCCTGATACATATTATATCCAAATGATGATCAATATTTTGAGTTTTCTATTTTTCAACTCAAGCATATTCTTTGTGAGGTAGAGAGCATAAATTTTTCTGAAAGTTTAATATGTTTCACCAAATGGGACTGTTCTTAAGCTGTACCTATAAATAAAAGAATTTTGATGTCAGACTAATAGACCAAGAGCTCGCGTGAAAAATGGTTAAAGTAAATATTCCAAAGGTATGATGGTTTTGATTGAAGTACCCCACAATAGTAAGTATAACACCACCCGTCTGCCACCTTCAAGTGGGGGCATTAATTCAGGAGGGGGTGTTGAAAGGTCAATTTTTTTGTCAATAGATTAAAGTAGTTCTTCCAGACTGAAAATCTGGACAAACGTTCCCTTTGTGATTGTGAATATCACTGTGATTTCAGATTTTGAGCAGACGGGGGCGTTATCGAAGCAGACGCCGTCAAAAATATGTCAAAAATGTCAAATGACAAGAATAAATATTCCAACTTGTATTTTGCATCAAATGATAGAGAATCAAAGAATCTACAACTTTTCTCTGAAGAAAAAATCATAAGACGGCGACACAGAACCGGCAGACGCCCATTTGTCTTGTTGAATATCTCTCAACTTCTGTCTATATACCTACGACTTATTACAATCTATATCTGTATACAAATGGAATGAAATATTCACTTACTACTCTATCTGTTTTGAGGAAGACGTATTCAAAACATTTTCTGTAGATAACTTTATTACTGAATCATCGGTGCTTCGAAGACGACCCTGCACGTGCGACGCTCTGGAGAGTGAGGTGTGAATTGTGTTTCTCATTCGTTTTTTTTTTTCACGTACGGACAGGGCTAGTTTTATAAATGTGAACCCAACTCTATCTTTTTTGTTTTCCACCCATTCGAAAAATTTTGAAATTGATTTTATACAATTTTTCAAACAGTTTTCACTCATTTTGACGATGATGCAATATCTATTCAAATATATAGGGTATACAAAAATAAATATATTTCTCAAATGAAACGCCCTGTATATTTCGATAAATTTGAATTCTCCAAATCATCCTGATTTCAAACATATATATATAGGAGGATCATCATCTATCAAAATATACAATGCATTCCATATACAAACATCAATATATTTCTGTATACCCTGTATATTTGAAGAGATATTGCCACATTCTCTCATTATGATCGAAATCAATATGGAATATCGTTAAAAAATCAGTTTTGAATATTCTCGGATGCAGAGAAAACCAAGAAGATGAAGGGGGCTTCACATTAATAAAACTAGCCCTGTACTTCTCGTGTGAAGGTCGTTGATTCAAAATAGTGGTAGTATTGCTCAATTTTCTTTCACATCAAAAACATTGTAGTGATTGTTATTGGAAGATTTTGTGTTTGTGTGTTTCAGAGAGCTTCTTGGTGAGTTCAAATTGATAACTCTAAATTTAATGTACTGGTCAATCATGTTACCTAATTTTGCAGCAAAAATATGGCTTAATCACTTCAAATATGGATGGAATGTGTTATAAGTTATACAACGGTAGGAATTCGAAAATATATATATTCTATTGACAATTCTCTCAATCTGACAGAAGTATCAACAAGCTTTTCCAACTGTAATCATCTACAGACATGATCATAATTATGTATTATATTATACAGAGGGTTATATAACATAAACATCATATCATCTAACAGAATGTGGTACTTTGCCAAAGAACAACCTGAGGTTGGTCGACATCAATAAAATCGCATTCACTCTGGGTACCAGTTTGTGTAATTCTCTACCAGCATTTCACGCCTTCACAGGTTGTGACTACACAGCCTTATTTGCCAGAAAAGCAAAGCTGACTCCTTTGAAATCACTAGAGAAGAGCAAAAAGTTCCAAGAAGCTTTCAGTAGAATGGGAGAGAGTGAAACGTTGTCTCATGAAACAATATATGCATCGATATTCAATAGTAATTCGATAATTGAATAATGTTCTATTTCTCCAGATATAGAAGAATACGTTTGCGAAATTTATGGGAACCGAAAATTATCCAGCGTCAATAAGGCTCGGTTCGAAATTTTCTGGGATTCCTACAAGCTAAAATCGAATCAATCTCCTTTCGGGGGTATCAAGAATTTTGAGGCCAGTCGTATCCCTCCTTGTGAGGATACATTGATTTGCAAAATACGACGTACAAATCAAATTGCAGCTATTTGGAAATTTGCTTTCAGTGAGAAACCAAATTTCTTTAACTCGGAAGGAAATGGATGGGTTAAAGAAGGCGGCGAATATAAAATGAATTGGTTCAAGAGCGAACAATTTCCGCGAAACCTAAATGAAGTACTGGTAGCTGCCGATGATTCAAGTGAAGTTGAATCTGAAGACGCTCACAGTAGCGACGATGATGAGTAGTAGTTAATGGCATATTTCCATGAGTTTCATTTGTTATGTTCTGTTTGTTCTGTTATTTTTTTCTTAAATTTTCTACATTTCATTATGAAAGATATGTTCATCTTTAATTAAATCTATAATACTTATTCATCTAGTTCTAGTTAATTGAACTCTGTTTGTCTGGATGTGTATCCTATTTATTTTTCAATTTTCAATAATTTGGAAACCTTTCTGCATATAAGAGAAGGAAGACTTTTACTTTCATCAAAATTTGAAAATATTGTGAATGTTTCAAACAAAAAAATATCATATGCTCCATGTTTGAGCTTGGAATGACGTCGCTTACGTATCGTATACGTAATGGGAGTCTGCCGGTTCTGTGCCGCCGTCTTATGATTTTTTCTACAGTGGCAAGTTGTAGATTCTTTAATTCTCTATCATTCGATGCAAAATACAAGTTGAAATATTTATTCTTGTTATTAGACAAATTTGACATATTTTTGACGTTTCTGACATATTTGTCACGGCGTCTGCTTCGATAACGACTTCGTCTGCTAGAAATCTGAAATCACATTGATATACACAACCAAAAACATAACAAATGTACCGAATTTCAGCCTGGAATAACATCATTCAGATATCGTCCAGAAAAAGATAGGGGAACCACTTCACATGACAAATGGGCGTCTGCTGGCTCTGGACCGCCGTCTGCTGATTTTATTCTCTCAAGAAAACCTGTAGATATTTCCATTGTCTATCATTTGATACGAAATACAAGTTGGAATATTTATTCTTGTCATTTGACATTTTTGACATATTTTTGACGGCGTCTGCTTCGATAACGACTTCGTCTGCTCGAAATCTGAAATCACAGTGATATTCACAATCAAAAACATAACAAATGTACCGAATTTCAGCCTGGAATAACATCATTCAGATATCGTCCAGAAAAAAATAAGGGAACCAGTTCACATGACAAATGGACGTCTGCCGGCTCTGGACCGCCGTCTGCTGATTTTCTCTCCCAAGAAAACTTGTAGATATTTCCATTGTCTATCATTTGATGCGAAATGCAAGTTGGAATATTCATTTTTGTCATTTGACATTTTTGACATATTTTTGACGGCGTCTGCTACGATAACGCCCCCGTCTGCTCCAAATCTGAACGCACAGTTTTATTCACAATCACAAAGGGAACGTTTGTCCAGATTTTCAGTCTGGAAGAACTACTTTAATCTATTGACAAAAAAATTGACCTTTCAACACCCCCTCCTGAATTAATGCCCCCACTTGAAGGTGGCAGACGGGTGGTGTTATACTTACTATTGTGGGGTACTTCAATCAAAACCATCATACTTTTGGAATATTTACTTTAACCATTTTTCACGCGAGCTCTTGGTCTATAAGCCTTATGGTTGAGAAATGGTGAAAACTTCGATGTAGGTATTCAAACTGATGTGCTCATATATGTCATGTATGCTGTATATTCATTCAGGGTGGTCTGGTTTGTAATATAAAAAATTCAACAGTGTGTTGTACCCGTTAAAATAATAAAAAAAGTGTACATAAACATATACTTTTGAAAGCGTCGTTTTCGAGATATATAGGGTGTTGAAAATACGAGTGTGAATATTGTTTTTTATGAAAAGTTTGAAACGGTTTGAGATTAATCAACAATATTTCCTCACAGATACTAAACTTGTTATGCTCTATGAGATGAAATAAAAATTATCTCATGAAGTGATTCAGTGCGGCGGCCGAATCTGGGGGTGGTGAAGGAAAAAATCACCCCAATTTTTATATGTGCATTCAGTTTTTCATTTTCCAATGCAAGATGTGAAAACAGATAAATAGATCACTATAATAGTTACGTTTTCGAATGGAACCGGATGAACGATATGAGAAATCTAAGCTAATGAAAAATAATAATTAGGCAAACAACACCACCAGATTCAGCTGCTACTGAATTATTTCATGTAATAATTTTTATTTCATCTTTATAAGAGCGTAAAAAGTTTGGTATCTGTGGAAAATTTTGTGGATTTATCTTAAACCGATTCGAACTTTTCATAAAAAAAAACAATATTCAGACTCGTAAATTCAACACCCTATATCTCTAAAACGACGCGTTTGAAAGTATATGTTTATATGAACTATTTTCATTATTTCAATGAGTACAACACACTCTGTTGCATTTTTTGTATTGCAGTTTTTCACGAATCCTCATTTTTCTGAATATGGTATAATTTTTTGAATGGTAGGGTATATGCCTCTTCTTTCAATCCTCCGTTTTAATCTAAACTGTTTTTACTAAAATGCATTCAATAACTTGTGGAGTGGATAATCAGGCACAATGAGAATATGTTTATTCATGTGATTTCGAACTAGTGTTACCTCGCATAGTTTGCTGATGTATTTACCGATTTTTTTAATCTGGCCTCTTTACTCTCCATGTTCTAAGTTCATTTGCATTTGTGGAAAGCTGACAAATTCAAATTTTCCATCCAACTGATTGATACAGCGTAACGCAGCACATTTTAACACCCTTTCAAAACAGAATTGAATGATTTCGTTATTAAGATTGGGTTAAATTCTTTCAACGCATCTATGAAGGTGACAATGTCAAGTCAGGGTCGCCAATACATACAAAACCAAAGTCACTAGATCTTTGAAAGAGAAAGGAGCTATGATCTGTCCTACTCTGCACTAAGGTGATAAATACGTCGATTTACATCAAGGGACCCTACTCAGAAGTGAATAGGGAACCTAATCTAAATAGAGAGTATATGCAGTAGATGATGATAAATGATAAATGAATGAGATGATGAAAATTCTCACATTTTCATCTAAAACTCGAAGATCAAATAAAACATTGCAACATTTTAACTAATCTCGAATATGTGATGCTCAATTTTTTTTTTCTTTTTTCATCCTGAAGAGTCATTGAAAATCCTGCGAGTTTGCTAATTCAAAAATATATATTAACAAATATCTTATGAATATCTATCAACCAGTCCATTATTTCGGCAAAAGTTCAATCATTTATCGGAAGCCACTCAATGATTCGTAATTTCCAAAGAATTAAAATCATTATCTTTCAAGTTGCGTGGCGAAACTTGATATTTTTCTGCAATATTTCGAATGATTGATATCGCAATCTATCATGAGGATACACACCAACAAACTTCAGAGCATGGCTAATAACTAATTTTGTTCAGAATGCCGTGAAAAGCTGTAAAGCTGCCACCAAGAATTTGAGCGATATGGCCAAGGAACTTGAACACATTGGAAGTGTCACAAGTGTTGGAGACCTGCCACATAAAATGGAAGAAGCAGAAGACACCAAAACCGAAGTTGAAGCTATCATTTTAGAAAGAGTAAGAGTTTTTATCGATTTTTGTCAATCTTTGTATTTTCGAGTGTGTGAAATGATACGTTAGGCGTTAGGTACTATCGTCATATTTGTGAACTCATTTGGAATCGTAGTTTGGCCATGGAAAAGACGAATCTCAAAATAATGTAGTATACAATTAATGTTGTAAAGCTTTCGGTGTATTAGATATGCATCAACTTCTTCTGATGTTATTGATGAGTTTAGATTATGTATTTTTGATTGATGTCCTCATCAGAATGAAAAAAATATTTAAATAGCTTGATCATAATATATTTCATATGTTCCAGTTGTTGACTAGAATTCGGTATTTAATGTTTAATCCAGAGATCATACCTGATAGGTATACTTCAATTATTCATCTGGTTTGATTCATTTTATTACCATATCACATTTGAACTCAACTTCAACACATCGATTGTTTCAATGTTTTAGAATGCGTTGTTGCAAGAAACATCTGAAGAATGGGAACAATGCGAAAGGAAAATCAAAGACGTAAGAAGTTGGATAGAAAAGACGAAGACAGCTCTGGAATCCCAACAGAATAAGAAGAAACCACTGAGGGATCAACACGGCCTGCGAGAAAAAATGCTCGCTGATATTCAAATCCAAAAGACTAAGATCTCTTTGTCTGTTGAGAAACTGCAGGTATGCAATCGTTATTATAGTAGTTTCCCCATTTCACGAATGCAAATTCCATGTTGACTATTGTTGAATTATCAATAAATCAATAAATAAATAATTTAGACTCTAATCGCAATCAGATTCATCTCGAAATTTCTCAATTGAATAAATTATGATCTTGCAATTAAATCAATTCTCTCAACGGGTAAATGTTCAAAATTACCTGAAAGCGCGCGTCCCCATATATATATAACTAGGATTATCGCTCAACTAAGGACATGCAGTAAGTCGTCCCTTAGAATTCCCTTCCATCGAATAGTGTATAAAATAAATACTGAAGAAGAATGTACTGATGTTTGCAATCTCCACAGACCGGAATCTTTGGAACACATTCTCTTTGAATGTCCAGTTCATGCTGGTATCAGGAATTGTCGATTATTTCAAGAGATTGAATCTCTAGATGATTTAATATATCTTATAAATTATGGTGGCCTAGCTGACTTGAAACTTCTGTACAAGTTCTGATCAATTTGTTAAAGCTTAGATATTTTGTTGTGAATGGGTAATTTGCATATATCAATTATTATTTCAATGTCTTCATTGGTAGATTTAATCAAGGTCACGCAGGAAGGATTTTTGTTTTCGTTTTAGCTATTAGTTCTTATGTATTCATTCATTACAGATTACCCAACCCATGTAATAAGAATTATTGTAATTCATTTTATATATCTATTCATCTATCTATCTTTCTATCTATTAAATCAATTTCCAAAATATCAGTTTAGCTTTCATGTCCAACTAATGAACCATTCAACGCCTCCTCAACTTTGAAACTTGATATAAATATGGGTTTGCCTTCTCCTCAATCATTCATGGATGCATTCTCCTACAGCTCCACTTCCGCTCTGGCATCGAGAGCGACACCAAGGTCACGCAGCCGGCCAAGGACCTCCTACAAGAACTGGAGGAACTGAACTCGACCATCAAGGCCTCGATCCAGCAGCTGGAGGCAGCAATCGCGCAGGTCGACCAATACCAGCTGGAGGTGGAGCAGCTGCGACAGCAGATCGTGCAGGTCGATCAGCAGTTGCGCGCAGCCACGGCGCCCGCGCATGCTGCGCACGACAGAGAGCAGGCCGTGCGCGAGCAACAGGTAGGAGGCGTGGTTTGTTTCGTTTTGAGGCTAACAGTTGTGAGGATGCGCAGGAGGATCTGGTGTGAGGTTGTGGACTGAAGCGGTGGGGGATTTGGGTTTAATTATTTTTGGATGTAAGATAAATTGATATTCATCATACAGGACGTGGAAAGGAATTCTGAATTGAGAAAACCTAATCACGAATCTGCGATTGAGGTCTATAAAAATAACAAGTTTCCATCGTTCAAGTTTGAACCCCTTGATTGGGTGAAAGTATTGAAAAGGAATATTCTCAGATATATTTATGAACACAAAATAAATGGATATATATTTATAAAGAAATACATTGAGAATTCGCATTTTCCATGTGATGAAAATATTAATTCTTTCTCGGTTTATTCAACAGAAAACAACTACTTTCCTGGCTATATGCCACGACGAACATTGAATTTTATCTATTGAACACACACGATACGAATTTTAAAACAAAATCTTCTGAAGTAGAGAATTAGCATTCTCCTTCATATAAAGATATGCACATAATATAATTCTGGATATTCAATAGAAAACAACTACTTTCCTGGCTATTTGCCATGTAGAGCATGAAGAATCAATATCCTCTGAAATTGAGAATTGACATTATATCTCAAATCGATACACGAGTCAATCTTTTTCGGTCGAGTGTAGAACTAGCAGCATCAAGGTGAAATAAGTTATATTGTCTAGTTGATGACTATGAATTCCAAAATTCCTTGTCTAAATAATATTAGATTTCAATTTTTTATTTATGATATTATATGAAATCTTCTGAGTCTCTCATCTGTACAGTTCTTCTAATGAATGATTTCTTATAATTCCGATTTAGTATCTCGGAATTATCTAATTCCGACTCATGTCGGAATTTTGATTTATTATCTTGAAATCATTCAATTCTGACTCATTATGTCTGAATTCCGACTCGTTATCTTGGAATCATTCAATTCCGATATACTAATTCGGAATTATGAAAAATAAATGCGGTGGCCCTTCAATGCCTTCTAAATAAACAAAAGGGTTGCAATATGGAAATAATGATGAAGATAATTTTCGTTTCATTTCAACCACTTTTCTAAAAATTGCTTCTTGTTTTTTTAACCACACCAGATCTTCTTCCACGTACCAATTATCCGATTAACTGTCGTTGTTTAGATTGAATGGGAGTGGCATGAACTGTTTAGTTCCGTTTTGGTGGTGCAGTTCCAAAATTATTTACAAATATTGAAGGCTACTCTACCTATATTCGTTTATGAGTTTTCTTACATTCAGTCTTACATTGATTTTCATCACTGTATTTATGGTATATCTTCTACTTATCGCTTTTCGGAAGAATATCATGTTTTACTGAGGATAAACCTCCAGGTAAGCTTCATTGACTCAGAATATTGTATTATTCAATAATGTCACCTTAACAAAAAATCATTTTCTCATTTCCGCATTTCTTTAGTAGATGTAACTTATCCGTAGTTTTATAAACTATAGTACCTGGGTTTTATGGGTTGACGGTGAGAGCTAGAGTCAGAAGAATCATGCCACTTCCATCTTTCACTGATGCGCACTGCAGCCGTAGTGAAGCGAAAATTAGTAAAGAATCATTTCAAAAACAGTTCTTGTCTTCTGATAAATCACCGAAACCGACAATTTGAAATTACATTTCAGAAAAATCATAAAGTCGAATTGACCTTTTTCATTTAGAAATGGTGGCTCTTTATTTATCCGGAGGTTGGTCACATTGATTTCATTCTATTTCTTTTTTTCAAAGTAGCTATGATATAATATATTTTGAGTTCCAATTTTAATTTATATTTGAAACCTGAAACAGAAATTGTTTGTTAATTGGTAGTTACTGTGACTCTCATTTCACTATGTTCGATTTTTAAGATGTTTTCTCCTGACTGCTAACATAAGTCTAACTAATTTTGGTGAGTGCTAAAACAGTGTTCAATTTTTGATATAAATAGTTTGAAAATAGTATGATAGCACTCGATTTCACATTATTTCATGACTCACCTTCGGAAAATAAGAAGTAGCCACCGCTGATGAAAATATTCAGGTCAATTGGAAACATTTTGATGCTAGAGGACGTGATAGACGTGGCTGATACATACGTTCATCAAGGTGTTTCCATTATGCCCCCCTCCTCCCTAGCAGCGTGGAACAGCAAATAATTGAGCAAAAGCATTTAGTATGAATGTGGCAGATGCGGTATACCTGACAAAATTATTCTTTCTTATTGGTACCCTTTCATGATCATCATTCATGTCCAACATTAATTTCAACTGAAATTCTTACTAGACATCAGTACGGTCAACAATAGATAGGCATCCTTTGTATGTTACGGTTGAACATAATATTTACAACAAGTTATAATTAACAACAGACATAAAACAATTTACTAAATTTCGAAGCTAGTAGGTACGTATCAATAAACATTGAAACTATAAATTTCTTGTAACGATGTACAAAACAATAGTGAACAAGCTTGCTAGATTTGGATGGAGATGACTGAAAATTGAAATAGAATATCATTATATGATTGAATAGGAATAGTGTCTTTTGAATTCAATAAAATGAATCCAACAGCAATTACTTATTAATTTATCAAACCTGTTGAAGAATGTTTGTTAGTTTTTTCATAAGTGTATCTTCGTCAATATGAATTTGGTTCTACTGATATGATATTACAAAATATAAATATTTTTACTGCAGTTTATATTTTGGATGTAGGTTCACTAGATTGTAATTATGATATAATACTATTGAAGGTTTCTGGTATAGATTAATGTTGGACATGATGAAATAAGAAAGTGCTTTTACAAGGAAATTAATGATAGTTGATGATGGTATAAGTGCATTCGCCATTTTCCAATTCTAAACACTTGTTGCTTGATTATTTCCTCTTCTAGCGGGGATTGTGTTTGTTTTTGGTTTCGGGCTTTCTACTTATTTACTATTTGCTTCATTTACTGCTTTTAAGCTTCTATACCCCTTCCCTCACTATGTACCACATTTTTGCTTGCTTAGCCATATTCTGAGTTCACCACATTTGTCACTTGTTTGTGTTCACTCTCTATCTCATTCACATATCACAATTTAGTGAAAGGGTGATCAAAATACTTTTGAAACAATGACATATGATGATATTTTCAGACACATTATCTGAAATGTTTGAATAATAACAGGTAGGTGTTCATCTTTTTTAGGTTGGGTCTAATATGTCGATCATTAGAATACCGTGTGACAACGTATTCCTTATACAGGGTGGAGACTTGAACTGGAATAAATTCGCTACTGGGGAAGTGCAATATGGAGAATATAACCCTTCAGGAGTAGGTAGAATCATCCCCAACATGTTTTTCTCAAATGCAACCCTATGTCTTGCGACCCCTCATTGGGATTGGGATTGGGAATCCAGCGTTCTGATCATATTCCAGTTTGCAGTACGTTTGGGGGTCGCACAAAATCAAAATATAATTTCAAAATTCAATATATCTTTAATGTATTCTCACCAAAATTTCGACTTTTAGTGACAGTGATAAAGGGCATTTCCACCAGTTTGCAATAACACTTCGTTTCGAACTGTGAATACGGCAAAAAACTAAATTTATTTTTGTGGCTCTATAAGAACACTGTAATAGAATAGCAGAGATAGCAGTTGTGGCAAAAACTTGTCATCAATTATTCAGCATACATTTTGAGCTATTGATACGTTGAAAAAAAAATTGAATTTCAAAATTACATTTCAATTTTGTGCAACTTCTAAACGTATGAAAAACTAACATTTGACTAGTACACTGGATTCCTCCTTCCACCAGCTTCAAAATGAGGGGTCACAGGCCATAGGGTTATATATGAAAAAATCATGTTGAGGGTAGTTTCAGCTACCTCTGGAGGGATATATTCTCGATATTGCTCGCGAAAGGTAGGTAAATACATCGAATCGTTTGCGTATGCCGGGAATTTTTAGAAAAAGTTTTCACCTTCTCGCTAACGAATTAATTCCAGTTAAAGTCTCCACACTGTATAGACAAGCGATAGTTTTCAGAGTTTTGAGAACATGACTTGGCAAGTGAATCAATATTTGACAATCTCCCACTACACCTTTTCTAGATGAATTTAAGAAAGCGCCAATTCAATTTCGAAAAGGGTCAATAATTGTATTTCAGAAAGCATCAATTGTTTTTCAGAATAGTCAATTGAATTTCAGGAAGCGTCAATTGTATTTCAGAATAGTCAATGCGATTACAGGAATTGTCAACTATATTTCAGAATAGTCAATTGAATTTCAGAAGTCATTTGTATTTCAGATTATATTTTATGAAATACAAATGACACTTTCTGAAATTCAATTGACGCTTTCTGAAATACAACTGGAGAAGGTGTAGAGGTGGTAGTGGAAAAATCCAAAAAAGTAGATTCTCAGGTAGGAGATAAAATACAAATATATATATATATATATAAATACTATTTATGATCACCCTTTATTTCGCATCCACCATACACAACACTGTATCATGCTTACAGGTTACATTAATTTTGGGTGAGCCGGAAAGCGAACACAATCGATTTTATGTTTGCCCATTGTTTGATTATTTCTCACGAAGCGTTTTGTTCTTTTTGTACGTTTTGCTGCACTCCTTTCACCCCATTCCCCGTGCAGGTGTTCAAAGACCGTCTCCGCACTTTGCAGAGCAAACTGACCTCGCGAAATGAGCGAATGAAACTCATTTCGCAACGGGGCGTGCCGGATCTAGATCCGCTCGGCACCTAGCACTTCCTGCAACCCCAAAACTTTCTCTCCTTATCATGACACACCCACCACCTGAACACCTCTTATGATACGCGTTACAGCCACTATATCACGCGTCTATTTTTGTTATGCGCGTTTACTGATTCATTGCATTGTTACTGCGGAACAGGAAACAAACAGGCGGAAGATCTCGTCTATCATCTCCATCATCAGACAGCTGGACCCATATTCCGTTCAACCTGAACCCGAACACGCTCTCCTGGGGGTTTCCTACGCAGATATCGCCGCTGGTAGGTCAAAATCCCAGGAACGAAGAAGTGTTTCACCTGCCTGCCAAAAATACGAAACGACTCTGGAGAGAACCAGTGTAGTGCTTCACCCTGAGACAAAACCACAAAAAGACTCAACACCTCTTGCAATGGATGTACCTTCAATCCACGAACCATCTCCGGAAACTCCGGATACTACTGAAACGGATCAACTGATATTACCTCGCAGAACTAAATCTCCTAGGCCTAGTAGGTCTCCGTACAGGCGCGATAAAAAACATGTAGCTAAACAAAACGAACAATTTACAACAACATCGCAACCAGCCATCCAGATAAATGAACCACTCACAGCGAGAGAACGATCCCCTAGTTTGAGTAGATCACCAACACATGATATGCTCAATGTAAAACCCAGGGCTCGAGGAAGGTCACCAAGTCCTATGTGGCTTCCGGGACAAACCTCTTATGCTGAAATTTTGATGGGTCAACATAGAGACTCATCAGAAAGAGAAATAATATCCACGCCGAATGTAATATTACCAGCTGAGGAAACTCCTATCAAAGTTGGTGAGAAAAAGAAAGAGGAACCTGAGATTCTAGGTAGCAATGAACCCAATCAATTCATAAAGACAGATAACTGTAAAGTCGGATACAGTGTCCCAGAATCGCAATACATTTTACCATCTCAGCCTCCGAACTGGCACCAGTATACCCAAGCATTGTATCCCTATGCTACTGAAATGGAACAGAATTATCACCCTCAAAATGCAACAAATCATATTCAACCAAATATCATCACATATAACCAGCCTCTACCAGATATGGTGAACTTCATAGTCTCAGGTGGACAGGTCATTAGTTCCGGTTTGGGTACTTACAATAGCTCTTCAATAGCTACGCAAGAGTGCCATGAAGTTGAAGCTTTGAGTCAAGCAGAGCCAATCGTTGAGCAAGAAGCCAATATTGTTCAAGAACGCCCGGTGCTAGTGAAAAGGGATGAGGTACCACCAACACAAACGATTCCTTCTGATGTTGCTGGTCCGCATTTCTCTTACGCACGAATTTTGTCTCAGGGTCTAAGCTCGAAGTCTCTTCAGCCATCCAGTTCAGTAACAGTGCAAACTACGAACATTCGAGATACTCCTAGACTAAAATCTCCAGTGCGTGGGAAAGCCACGTATAGGGAAGAAACGGAGTCTCAACCGAGGGAGTACGAAACGCGCATGCGCAAAGATAAGGTGGATGTTATCCCCGATGTTGTGCCAAGACAACATAAGAAAACAAGAGAATATAAACGAAACCTTCGTAACGAACATGGAAACGTTCAACTGCCTGACAACTATGGAGAGCCTAGTCAACTAGGAGGTTATGAGGCAAGTGAAGTTTTCCAAGTGCAAGATTTAGATAGAGAACGCTCCCGCTCGAATGCAGATAAATTAGTTGATAAGACATATAGATCTAAGGAACCAAAGCAATTAGAAATAGAGTCACATGTAAAGCATACAACTGCTCAAAAACCGACAATAAAGACTACGATAAATTCTATCGCTCTTGATGAGAAAACAACGAATGAAATAATTATTGAAGACACAAAAACTAGTACTGTAGAAATCTTACCCAAGATTGGTTCAGACCAAACCGCATGCGAAACTGATACAGATGAACCAATGAAACAAGTTGGTGCTATGGATAACTCAGAAGGAACCTTGAAGGATAAAAAGAAAAAGAAGAAGAAGAAGAACAAAAAACATTCTGAAGAAGCTGGTAACCCAGCTTTCATAATAGAAGAAGTTATAATACATATTCCCGATGAAGATGAAATAGATATACATGATAAGAAACCTTCAACTAAACCCAAGAAAAATAAAAAGTCCAAGAACACTCATAATCGAGAGCAGAACGCCAAACTTATACAAGATAAAACCAGAGCTACAGGCACTCAAGAAAAGACAACAGGAATTGTCATTGATGATTTCACCGAACATGCTCAGACTACTAAATCTTCCCAGGAAATACAAGATGTAGTAACTGAGAAAGGTGTATCCGAACCAGTATCTGATTTGGTTGAACCTACAATGATTGATAATTCCAATGGAATCACGCAGCAAGTACTAGTAGATCACCAACAAACCATAACTGATACCAATATGAAGAAAAAACGGAAGAACAGAATTAGGACAGTTTCTGACAATCAAACAAATGAAAATCTTGTGATCAACAAAACAGAGGTGCACAAACTGGAATTTCATGAATCGCCAGTTATTCAGAATCCCACTTCACCTCTTGAAGAAAAGCAAGAACTATCGGAAGATGTGAAGAAGCCTAAGAAGAAAAAATCCAAAAATAAGCAGCCCTCAGAAGGAGTAGTGCATGATCATGCTATTCCAGAATCAAGGGAAGCTCAAATGATTTCTCTCGAAAATACCCATCGTGAAAACAATGAAGCAAATGGAGATCAATCTATTGGCTCAAAAACTGAAGAATCTCCTCTCAGAGACGAATCTTCAGAAGCCCCAAAAAAATCTAAGAAAAAGAAGTCAAAGAATAAGGCACAAAAAGAAAACATATTGCCTGAATCACTTTCTTCTGAACCTACAAATGTTCAAAATATGTCTCTTCAATCCGATAAAATCATCCAGAATCCTGAACATAAGTCTATTACATCAGCTAAATCAATTATTGAAACAAATAAACAAGAGTTGTCTGCTCTCAATACTGTGCCAGAACCACAACAACCTACAGTTGGGGAACAAACATCTCAAGACATTCTTTCGACCTGTGGAACTGCCACTGGACTTTCGGAAGAAACTCTCCAAGGAAACAACAACGAAACTCTTGGAGATATTTGTGTCACGAAACATTCTGTAGAAATACCCATGCTGGTACCAGAAAAGATGGAACCACTTCCGGAAACCTCAAAGAAGTCTAAAAAGAAGAAACCTAAGAATAAGCAATCCAAACAGGAGAACATGTTTGAGTTGGTCGTGTCTGAATCTATCAAAACTCAAATTTTCACTCTCGAACAACAAAATGTCAGTCAAACTAGCCAAGATACTGTTTCATCGACAAGGTCCTTCATAGAAATACGAAAACAGGAGATATCTGCTTCAAATGATGACGAAGAAATAGAACAACCAACCCTCGAGGAATATAAAGTTACAGAAAATACAATGACAAGTAATCCTTCTGTGGAAAACTATCACCAGCAAAGTGATGAGGAAACAGATGTAGCTATATCTATTGCCCTAGAACAAGACAAAAGGATAATTTGCCTTACAGAAGAAAACAAAGTTGGATCTCCAATAATTACAGAGGATAGTCCCAAGGATGAAACAGAAGCTTCCAAGAAATCGAGAAAGAAGAAATCCAAGAATAAGGCACCGAAAGAAGGGACAGAAACTCAAACAATTCCATTCCAAGAAGAAAATATCTCACGAGAATTGAAAGAATTATCAAAAACAAATGCTGTTTCAGAATCACAACAATCAATGGTTGAACGAGATCATTTCCCAGAAAGTCAGTTGACTCCCGAAAATGCAAGTGAACTTGTTGATGGAGTAGTTTCCCAACAAATTGTAGATGTTCCTTCGATGAAAACGTCCAAGAATGATGAACCCACAGAGAAACAATATACAGTTCATGAATTGCTCACTTCTGAGATAATCGAAGTCCCAGAAAAAGAGTCATTCGGAAGTGGAAGTGAACTCTTGGTGGAAGAACGGAACATGCCATCGTATACCTCGGAACAAGAAGAACAAATTCTTGTAGAAGAAGTCAAGCTAACATCTCCAGATAATGAAGAACCGATCGAAGATACCATATTCATGATTCGTCAAGAAGAAAAACCTACAGGAAATCTCAAAAACTCAAAGAAGCATAAACAGAACATATCACTGGAAGTAGATGAAGTGCTCGTGCCACTCATCCCTGTTGTCACTGAATTTGATAGTCGTGAACCCACTTATGCCCTACATGAGGAAAGAACTGGCACTGATTCCTCTGAACTCATAGGACAAGATAATTCTGCAATACAAAGAAATTCCGAGATCTTAGGAATACAAACAATTAACAAGGAAACTGTAACATCCTCTTCATTTGAAAGCGAACAGTCAACTATCGTGACAGAATCTAAGATTCAAACCTCATCTGAATTTATATCAAGAGAAATATCTCATGAAAACAAAAATATGAAAGATGTGCTGACTGACGAGTACGATGGGGTCATTCCAATCAACGGAACGAACAAAATCATTCTAATTACTCACGAAGAAGTTAGAATGAAGCCAGTAGTATCTCTCAAAATGCAGTTTGCTGACATGTCTGTAGAAGAAACTGACTACATTGAGAAGGGTATGGGTGAACAACACGACGAAGTTGATAATGGAGTCAAGACAGAAGAAACGTCTGGTACAGAAAGAACGCGAATCACTGATATCAACAAGAGTTTTATTCAAGGAGAAAGAATACCTAATGAAGCAAAATTGTTCGAATCAACTGATGAAATGAAGGAGATATCTGGGAGTAAAATTGCAGAACGATCTGAGACAGATGAAGCAAATTCTACAGAAGTTTTCGACCTTGAATTAGAACAAGTAATCTTTGGATCAGTTAAACAAAGGCATAAAAGAATTGTTACACAAATAGAGACATCGGAACATTCCCATATAGACAAACAGTCTAAAGAAAAGAAGATTGAGAAAAAACATGAGAAGAATAAGAAACGGCAAGGTATGCCTTTGAACCTGATTTTACAAACTGAACATACCCCTGAAGTTGAAGTCAAAACACCTGACTTTGACTCAACGTCAGAACCAACGACATTGTCAAGAAATAATTCTGTAGTTGACACTGAAATCAATAGCATGGAAGATATTATGAATGTTCTGGAATCCAAGAAATCCAAAAAAATCGAAAATTCCGTGAAAGAAACTATACTAGAAACCACCAGTTCAAGTTTAGGTGATATATCAGTAGATGTACCAGGTGCGTCTTTACCGAAAACTAGTAATAAGCTTGAAATATCAGGGGAAAATTCCGTTATTTCTGATGAGGAATTGGTTGAGGACAAAATAGAAAGTGTAGAGTTGCCAGAAAATGAACCGACATTAGAGAATTTAGCTGCTTTAGAAAAGTTGCTTAATGAACAGAGCGAAATTTCAGAACCAATGGAACAAAATGAAATTGAAGGCTATGAAGTATTGTTATCTCTCAAGCAGGAAACTTTATCTAAATATCAACCAGATCTGAGTGTAATACCAGATTCTGAACCTAGAACTATTCCTGTTTGGCTTCAACCAAAAACAATCGTGAGGACTGAAACCCCCAAAAAAGTGGTAACTACAGTTAAGGATGATGCAAATACAACTTTTATCACAGCAGAAAAACACGATTCAATAGATAGTTCAGATAAACAAAATATTACTGTTTATTCAGATATTCAAGTGGAAGATTCCGAACATTCTGAAGAGAATGCTAGACACGAAAGTGAATTCAGTGATATACCATTCGAGAGTCCATTATCTACAGAAGTACCAAAAGATGTGAGCCGGAAAGAAATTAAATTGATTCACAAGAATCATGATATTCTAGTTGAGAGGTCGATGTCTCCTGAATTGCCTCTACCTGAAATTGAATATTTGCAGCCAACAAAATCCGCTATTGATGATGAAACAAAAATAAAAACTGAAACTCATCCTGAAAACATTGAAGGTGTTCTTCTTAAACTCAAAGAAGAAACTCTGCAAAAGTACCTGATTCAGACTGTGAGCTATAAGCCGATATCACATGAAACAAATAGGAATGATGTAAGCATTGTCAACAAAATAAAAAGGTCTGAAGAAAAGTACCCTGTAGAAGATCCGACTGTATCACACAAAAAAACTGAATTCAAAATTACACCCGTAAGAGAAATTGAAGAATTAGAAGAACACATCGAGCCAAAGAAGAAGAGGAAAAGGAATAAAAAGAGGAAATCAGTTACCTTCGAAGAAACCCCACATATTATCAACTTCAAAGATGATGTGTCTCCATCTAAGGAATTTTCCGAAGAAGATACCGAAACTGCAGAAGAATTCATTTTCATATCGAATATGTCAAAGAAAATTGAAAGAGAATTAGACAATGTTAGCGAAAACGTGACAATTTCCGAAGTTGACGATAACTGCCAGTGGGTGAAAATAGAAAATGAATCTCCCAAAGAAATTCGACAAGCTGTGGAAGAAGTTCCTTTATCAACTTCTATTGTTTTCTTGGATGAAGAAGCATCCCCTGAAAAAGTAAATGTGCCTACATCTGTGATACCTAGAGACACTATTGTTTCTGAAGATGAAGACTTAGTGAAAGTTGAAATCGAAGAAAATTTGATAAAAACTGAATCGGGAAGTTCTTCAATGACTGAACCTCTGAATAATGTTATCGACCAAGTTCCTATACTTCCTCATAAAACTATCAATTCTCCGGTTAGAACAAGTAATATGACAGAAGATATATTGAGTAAATCTTGGGTGGAGGTGATGAAGTCGGAAGAAAAATCAATTCCAGAGAACCTATTAGACATATACCAACCCTTGAAAAAACCTCTAGAAATACCTGAGGAGGATGGAAATAAATTGAGACCAAAAAAACATAAGAAAAAGAAGACGACATGTGTGATACTACCAGGAAAAACTTCGGAAAAAACTGAGTCACATGAAGAGTTTCTTTTCCAAGAAAGGGAACAAGCATTGCCTGAAAATGTCAATGAAGAAAATGAAGATATTCAAAATATTATTAGGTCAGAAGAAATACCAGAGGTTGCTACAAAAGACTCAGAAATTGTTATGGATACTAAATTTACTACAAACTCCGTTTGTGAGGAAAACGCAGTTGTTACTGATCTCAAACCTATAATTGCCGAAGAAGAAAAAATATCTGAGGTTACAGACAATAAATCTGAAAGAGTCAAGCAAGCAGACAGTGTGAAATCAAAGAGAAAGAAGAACAAGAAAAAACATCAAAACGTGAAAGATGAAGAACCTGAAAATGACATTCTTGATACTTCAGGAGTCATACCAAATGTTGTAACAGAAACGGTTACACTCGAATCATCTGAATCATTATCAAAAAAAGCTGATTCAGACAAAGAAGATATAAACTTCGAGTTTATCCAAATAGAAAGAACTATGCTACCTTCTAGACAAACCTACGATGACATTTATGATACAACTGTGAATAAACTTGGGGGAAGACAGAAGAAACTTTCAGATCCTGAGAAGCCTTCTAAATCAGAAACGGCAGTGGAAGACGATATTGAAAAAGAAAAAATACAGGAAGATACACCACTTATCGAGATTAGTGATATCAAAGATAAGAAGTCCAAAAAGAAGAAAAATAAGAAGAAGAAGGTGGGAGATGAAGGAACCATTTCTTCACAAGAAGTACATGAAATAGAAGATAAAATGCAAGTAACAGAAGTGGCTCCCAGTGAAGACCCAACGGTGTCATATGCCAATGTTGTCAGATCTAAATTACCGGTACACAAGGATAATACTCAACTTGACTTTGATGAAACTTCAATAACCAGCTTGGATGTTATCGAAGGTAAAGAACCACTAACTGAGGTTCAGTTGGAGAAATCAGAAAGTATTACAGACAGCGTTGATGAAGCTAAAAAGTCGAAAAAAAAGAAGCATAAGAAGAAAAGCCATCCAACCATTGAGCCAAGTGTTAATACTACTCAATTAGAAATCAAACCTACTCCTGAGGAATCGGATATAACAGATCTAGTCATGGAAATCAATCGGGAAGCAGATGGCAATAGTGAAAAAATCATAAACGTTATCAGCGACAAAGAGTCAGAACAAATTGAAAACAGAGAAGATAATATAACGCAACCAAATTCAGAAGATTATACTGTTTCTCATGACTATCAAAATGATATAAAAACATCTTGGGCAGACGTTGTAAGTTCAAACTTGGAACCAAAACCAATTTTCGTGCTACCATCAGTGGCACCCATACCGATCGAACAAAAGCCATTTATGGTTCGTCCAATCAAAAATACGGAACCAGTTTCAGAAATAGTTTCAAGTGAGCCAGATGAAATGAGTGATAAGAAATCGAAGAAGAAACATAAGAAAAAGCACCATCACGTTACAGAGCACACAAGCAAACCTGCATTTGTAGTAACTGAGGAAATAAGACATATTTCTGATGAAGATGTGGCTGTGAACGATCATGTAAAGGAGCCTACTCCAAGATCGAAAAAGCAGAAATCTTATACACCAAAAACTGAAAACAAGGATTCAGGTGATCTGGAAACAAAAATTGATTCAACTATGACGAAACATGTTGAGATAATTGAAGAATGTCCAGTACAGGAGGAAGATGATGTGAAAACTAGAATGCAAAGCGAAAGTTCTCTGCCTATTGACCAAATTCATATCAAGCCAATTGTTGAGGTCACTACAAAGACAGTCGAATCCACCTCTGATTCTGAAACCAAATCTGCTCAAGGTACTTGGGCAAATATTGTCATATCTGAGGCACCGACTAGTAAGGTGGAAAAAGAAGATACAAGTGTTATACAATCTGAACAAATTGAACCAACTAGTATCATAGAAAAAGGAATATTCGATGAAACAGATGTGACAGTGAAAAAAGCGAAGAAGAAGAAGAAGTCCAAAAAACATATTTCAGAATCAGAGCTAGTTGAACCAGTGTTCGTGGTAACAGAGAAAAATCTACATATTCCTAGTGAAGACATTGCTCTTCAGGAGGAAAGATCAGACATTCGAGTTATTGCATCTGACTTCATCAGAAATGAAAAGTTGGGAGGGATGAAAGAGTCAGATAAAATGAAGGACGGAATAGGAACAGTGGAGCAGGAAACTTCTGGACCTTCTCAAGATACGACACCAGAAGATCAAATTGATAAAACTGAGGAAATAGGTCGTAGAGGTATAGAAGGAACTGAAATCATGCAATCGGAATACGATCAACCCAACATTGGAATACCTGCTGAAAAAATGCATGCATCGGTTTCTACAGACATAAATATGGCTTACGAGGGTCTTCCAGTTAATAAAACAATGGATATTCTTGGTGAAACTATTATTCCTTCTGAAGAAGACGATACCAAACTAAAATCTTCAGTTTTCAATGACAATGGAGTAATAGTTAAAGAGAGTGAGATAGTCACTGAAAATGATACAGATAAAATTATTGAAGAAGTTGCTGAACAACGGGAAATTAAGATCGAATATAAAGGTCTTCCAATCGATACATCTACTGATTTGTTCCTTCATATACTTGATGAACCAATGGTTTTTTCTGATGAGGAAGATGAATCAACCAGAGATGCTGAAACACATGAAGTAAAACCAACATCAGATATCAAAGAATCTACTGAATCAGAACAGAAAGTATATGAAGAAATATTTGCAGAAAATCTCGAATCAGTGCCTGCAGATAGCAATGTTTCCGAACAAAAGGATAGAGATGAAGAAATGCCTATTCCTATTATCAATGAATCAAACACAATAACAGCGGATGATGAAATAAAGATAGTGGAAAATAAAGGTTCAACTGAGGAATTGACAAAGACTAAAGTGGAATACAAAGGTCTTCCAATCGATGAATCAACCGAATTGTTCCTTGATATTCTAGATGAACCAATGGTATTTTCTGACGAAGATGAACAAACCACAGAGCACATTATAGACAATGTTGATGTACCCGAAGTGGTAAAAGTTGAAGAACCTAAACTAGAATTCATTGAATCAGAGCAAATGATTGATCAAGTACCTGGTGAGAATCTAGCTATATCAGTGCCAATAGGTAGCGGGGTTTCAGAAGAAAAGGAAAGAGAGACAAAACAGAATGTTTCAATTCTGAATGAATCAAGCACAATAACAACGGAAAGTATAGTGGTGATGAATGAGATAGTGGAAAAAAAAGGTTCAACTGAAGAATTGACAACGACTAAAGTTGAATATAAAGGACTTCCAATTGATGAATCTACTGACTTGTTTCTTGATATTCTTGATGAACCAATGGTATTCTCTGATGAGGAAGAAGAACAAACCACAGAGCACATTACACACGATGTTGATGTACCCGAAGTGATAGAAGTTCGAGAACCTAATCTGAAATTCATTGAATCAGAGCAACCAGTTGATGAAGAAGTACCTGCTGAGAATCTAGCTGTATCAGTGTCAATAGATAGCGAGATTTCCGAAGAAAAAGATATGAATACAGAACAGAATATTCCAATTCTCAATGAAAACTCCATATCATCCAAAAATGAAGTAGTGGAAAAAGATGAACTAGTAGAAAACACATTTTCAGAAGGTACAAAGACTAAAGTTGAATATAAAGGTCTTCCAATTGATAAATCTACTGACTTGTTCCTTGATATTCTTGATGAACCAATGGTATTTTCTGATGAGGACGAAGAACAAACCTCAGAACACATTATACAAGATTTTAATATACCGGAGGTAAAAAGAGTTCTAGAAACTTCATCAGATTCCGGAGAACTAAAACTAGAATCAATAGGAACAGAGCATCAATCCGATATTGAAACGCTGGCCGAGAATACGTTAATGAAAGAGTCAATCGATATTGATATAGAAAATGCTCACGAGGTAAACAGAACACCTGATCCAGTTCTCCAAATTCTTGACCAACCTATTGAATTTTCTGAGGAAGGAAAGGAAGAGGCAACAGAAGGAATTGAAATCCCAAAAGTGCTTTCTTCAAGTAAACAAGAAGAAATATGGAATGAGGAATTGGATATAAAAGCTGTACCCAAATTTGACATGGCTGGAATGCTGAAGGCCGAAAAAGAATGGTTCGAAGGAAGAGCTTCAGAAGAGAAGAAACGAGTAGAAGAGCAATTGATGAAATCAGATTCTGAGAATGCATCTGAACATGCTCTAGCAACTATTGAGTTCATTTCCCAAGAAATTGATAATGTGAAAGCTGATATTGATACACTAGAGGAAGATATCAAAATCGTCACAGATCTGAGTGAGAAGCAATCATCTTCTATAGAAAGTCTTACAGATGCAGTGGAAATTCAAAGAAATCAGTTAGATTCTTTAGATATCGAATTCAAAAATGGTCATGGATATGAGAATCTAACAATTCCACAGGAAATGAATATAACTGCTTCACCATTCCTTGAAGATACTCCCAAGTACGATATGTCCTATCTTTTGCAAGCAGAAATAGATTGGTATGAACAAAAATCAGAAAGTTGCCATATTGAGGATGACACAATAGATGATTCATCGAATCTACCTGAGAATCAGGATGAATTTGTTACACAAACTATAACTGATGTAGTCGAAGAGAAACCTTCAGAAAATATTCACGAACATACTATGACTGAAATACACGCTGACACTCAATGGTGTGAACAGAAAGAAATCAATGGAAGAACTACAGGAATCGAAATCAATTTGGATGAACTGTCAACAAATGATACTTGCGAACGAAATAGGTTGAAGGAAGTAACTGATACGCGAAACTCTGTGGAAACTATTGAAGCAGATATCATTGAAGATATCTCTAATAGAGAAGATGAGAAAGATGAAGCAAAATCTATAGCAGATTCTGAAATTCTTGGAATTATTCCAGAATCTACCATAAATATTGAAGAGGTAGCTCAAATAACAACAAAGACAATAGAACAACCTCCAGAAGATGAAGAGTCTTCTCAGCTCGAGAGGTATCTGGAGAAATCCATTGAATTTATTCCAAAATCCAATCTCCAATCAAAGTCTGATCTCTCAACTGACGCAACTGAGTTCATCCCAAGATCTCAGCTGAATCCCAATGCCGCAGAGTTTGTACCCATTGGAACTGAGGCAAGTGCACCATATGTAGCATTCACAAAAGTTTACGAAACTCCAGAACAGTATGATCCTTCGGCTTGGGAATATAGCAAAACTATATATACACCAGAAGATTATTCACCAAGCTACGAAATACCTTCAGAACATGCAAGCAATATTTGGGTGGATGAAATACTCCACGAACCAGCTGAAGATTTTGTTCAGAAACCAGAACAAAAGCATTCTTCGCCAAAAATCGATGATATTGACGAAAAACAATTGGAAGAAAGTTTGCTTCCTAAAGATGTGTTTTCTGAACTGACTACCACTAGCAGACAAGAAATGGGTACTTCAGTTGCATGGATGAAAAAGGTTAGCTCTGAAGAATATACTACACTGACAAAACCGGAAACATCAAAATCTCTTCCCGAATCAAACAAAATCGAAGTTCTACTACCAGAACCACCACTCTCTCCAAAATGTATTCCGGAATCAGAAAAAAGGTTTGAAGATGCAAAACATGCACAGGAAGTAGAACCTGTTAATGTTTGGGAAGCTCTGAAATTGGGAGATAAAACGTATGCCGATATAGTAGCCAGTAAAGTACCCGATACCACTCAAATCGATATATCAGAACGAACAAATCTTGACAGGCCTAAAAAAACTCATTCGAAATTGAATATTATAGAAGTCACAGTAACAGAAACTGCTAGAATACAACATGAACACCCACATGATAATATCGATGAAGACGGTTTCATTGAAGTTCCGAGAAAAGATAAGAGAATGCGCTCTAGGTCACGGTCAAAACATGTTGAACCAGAAAAAATTCCTCAACCTAGAGAGAATGTCAAAGCAGAACTACAGAACAAATCGAAAAATAGATCGAAAAAACGCGATAAAACCCCAATCGATGGTATTAATGTTGATGCTCTTGAATCTTCACCAATAACATCTTCTTCCCATGAGGACACGACTGTTGAAATGCATCATGTACCAATCGAAACGAGTTCTGAAGCTGCTAAAAATGTTTCACCCAGTGATCAAGAAGACACCGCATCACCTGAAGAAAATATTAAAGTGAAAGAGGATACAATAATTAATGAAGAGTTCATTAGAAGTGAAGGAATTTCATACGCTGATGTTCTCGGAACCAAAACCAAAACTATGTCTCCTCATAGAGTTGTATCAATAGAACCAGAATCAGCAGTAGAAGTTTCAAAATCCACAAAGAATATTGATATATCTGATCCACGCCTGGAGCAAATAGAATCACCAAGAACTCAAAAGCAACTTCTTGCAGCAGAGGAGATTGTACTACCTAAAAAAACGAAAAGAAAGTCTAGGAAAGGTAAAATATCACACAACCCTGTTCAAGACTATTCATATAATGCTTCAGATCAACAACTAGCTACTGAAATATCTGAAGTTCAAGTTGTAATGAGTTCTAGTGAAACAGTTTCACCTAATGACAAAATTAATATAGATGATGTATCTGAAACACACGAAATTCCCATTGAAGAAAAACGTAGTGTGAACATTAATGAACAGTTCATTAGAAATGAAGGTGCCTCTTACGCCAATATTCTTGGACAACAAAACAAAACAAGATCCGAGTCTCCTCATCCAGATGTATTGACAGAATACGAAAAGGGAAATTCACAACAACAAAAACACCTCCAAGAAAGTGCCAAATCTTCTCCGAGGACCTCAGTTGAGCACGAACCAACTGATGAACAAGTCAAATCTAGTCACGAATTTGAAGAGGATTCACTTCAGAACCAGAATGATACTATCAATGATGATATATCTAAATCAAATGAAGTTTCTACCAAAGTGGAGAAGGAAGAATCTGAAGATTCAAAGCATCCTGATGTATCAGAAAGAGAGAAAGGCGCTAAGAAAAATAGGAAACGGTCAAAATCTAAACAAAATATTGAAACGAAAATCAAAGAAATAGTTGATCTCTCAATGCCTGTCTCGATTAGTGAACAACAATTAGATGATTCTGATAAAGACGTTAAAACTCTTTCAATACCTGAAACATGTGATAAGCAGCAGTCAATGACTGGAAACCTTGAACATCATCATTTAACATATGCTGATATAGCTCGAACTGGAAGAAGTAGAGAATCTTCTCCTCATCCGATAGTTATAAAACCTCTCATAGAAAGAGTGAATTCCAAGCAGAAAACTGCAGTGGAACAAATTCCACTTGAGAAAGAAATCGAAAATAAAAAGTCTCTAGTTGAATCAAAATATACACCAGATGACAAAGGAAACATTGCAGAATCATGCACTGATGTAGAGGTTGACGATGAATTGATACCTACTTCCGAAATAACCAAAAACAATGACGAAAGAATGACGGTGGAGGATATTTCTCATACATTTATTGAACAAGACATTGTATCCACCCGAGATGAACATTCAAAATATCAGAAATCATACGCTGCTATATTACTGGAGAAACAGCAGAAATCCCCAAAACAGGAAGAGAAATTGATATCATCAGAGCAACCAACGTCACCTAAGAATGTGGCTATAAAAGTTCAACTTGTTGGAGAAGAGAAGGTGAAGCATGAACTGGCAGTAGATTCTGAAGGTTTCATAGTTCCCAGAAAGTCTAGGGATCGTTCTAGATCAAGGTCAAGGTCTAGGCCACAAAAAGTAGAGGAATTCTTGGAAGAGGAAAGGAATAACGGAATTGTCACTACAACTACGGCTAAACCTCAAGAAATTATTGAAGAAACTAAATATCAAACACAAAAACTAAGTCGAAACGATTCTAGTCCGACGAAATCTTGGGCCTCAATTGTGAAATCTGATGTTGAAGATATCCAACCCATACAAAATATGGAAAAAGAGATTATAGCAGTGGATGCATCATCTAAACAACAAAAACCTGAGTATTCTGAAGACACCAAATTGGAGGGTGTAGATAGTGTTATACCTCCTGGACATAAAGAAGAAAAATCGAGTGGTATAACAGAAGGCATAATTACCCCAGTAAAGAACGCAGCGTTTGATAGGAATGATGGAAATGTTGATAAAATAGAACTAGAAAGGGTAATGAATGTTAGTGAGAAGACTAAAAAGAAGAAACATAAGAAGAAGAGTCATAAAAATGATGAAATCGTCTCAAATCCAGAAGAAATAATTCAAGCAAGGGTGTACACTCAACCCAATGTGTCTGAAAAAGAGATGACTCCTTCCAATATTGCCGAAGAAATAAAAACACAAAATATCTCTCAACAAATCGAACAATTTGATACTCACAAAGAACGGCTAGTTGAAGAAATAATCCACGAAGCTCAAGAAATTTCCTCAGAAACTGAACCTTCTGATGAGCCTTCCAGGGACGTAACAGATCGAATGGTTGGGATCAAAGAACCCATTGAGAGTATACAGCTCAATGAAGAAATGAGTGTACAAGTCTCAAGTGAAATCACGTTAGTGCCTGAGAATGTGAAGATCAAAGAGCTGACACCTGCGGAAGAATCACAAATGTTTATTAACATTGCAATACAAGAGTCTCAAGCAACTGTCGAAAATATTGAACAAATGAAAATTCCCGAACAGCCAATAGAAGAAGTGGTGATTGAAGATCAAATAAATCACTCTGGAGTTGAACTTTCTGATGAACCTTCCAGAGAGATGAAAGTTTCAATTCTTGGAATCGAAGAACCAGTTGAGAGTTTACAATTCAGTGAAAAAATTAATGTTCAAGTTTCGAGTGACATAACGCCAATGCCTGAGAATGTGAAAATCAAAGAGCTGACACCCACGGAAGAATCAAAAATGGTCGTTTCGGAAAACATCGTTATACAAAAGTCTGAAGATACATTCGGAAATGTTGAACAAATAGAAATTCTCGATGAAAATATCGAAGTTCCGGCCCTTCAAGAATTTGAAAATAAAATAGAAGCGGTAACAATACCATCTCCTGATGAAATCCATACGTCGATAATTTCAATTGACAAGGATACAGTTCCTCAGCATGAAGAAATAAGCGCTGAAGTAATAATAATTCCATCAGGAAAATCGGAACCTAATATAGAAGAAACGAAAATCAAGTTTGATGATGAAATCAACACTCCACAACAACCAGTAGCTGTCAGGCTGCAAGATATTGATGATATTGAACATTTCCTCGAAGAAAGCAGACAGTTCGAAGACATAACAAGACCCCAAGTAGAACCAGTTGCGATAGACTCGATAAATGGAGAGATAAAAAATATAGCTGATACATTTGGAACCACTTCCATAGAACTTTTGGTCAAGAACATCACCTTGGATAAATCATTCTGGATAACCAAATACAGTCACGACGAAGCAGAAAGGAATTTTTACGAAGCAAAGTATGGAAAACCTGCATCACCAATACCCCAAGAAGAAACAGAAGGATATTCTAATGTTGAAATGGATCTTCAGCCGAATAGTTTAGATGTGCTCACATACAATTTATCAGTAGATAATACCTTCTGGCTTACTAAACCTATTTATGATGAAGCTGAAATACTTTGGTATGAAGATCTGGCACAACAAACCAAGCACAAAGGTGCAGGAGACACCATACGGTCTTCAAGAGAATCACCTGACAGAGACTTTGACTCTGACGGTTCTAGTGGAAGAGGCTCGCCAAGAAACAAATCTGGAGGTGAACCGGCTTCAAGATTGCCTACATCTGAATTCGCGATGTATAGCTTACCCGGTGGAATAGCTGGTTGGAAAGAAGAAAGCACGTATTTGCCTCCAGAGGAACTTGTACCTGTCGATACCTCTTTGACATTTAATGACGAATCTATCACTGACTCGGGTATCGCGAGAACGATCGATGAACATTTGTCCGCGGCTCAAAGACTCTCCGAGAGTATGGCTGAAGATGTTATCAATGACGAAACACCTCCTTCCCCTCTCTCCTCCCTAGGGCCCCAAATGCAGCAATCGGCTTCCACAGGTCCGACAGGGAAGAAATCAGGAGACCGCAAGTCCAAGAAGGTGAAATTTCATTGTGTGATTTGTTTGGGGTTCCAATCGTTGTGCATGTTTTGTTTTAACATTGCTTTGATTTCAGTATTTAATGTTTTCTGGATGCTGGTTTTATTTTCATATCTTATAATCTTTTAATGTACTCTGGGTGAGCTGACATTATATCTTGTGTTTTTATGGGCTTTGTGATTATTTTGCTGAATAGGTCGATGTTGGTATGTTTGACTGCTCACAGTAGTTGGCACAATAATAATTTAATGACGATTTTTGTATTGGTAGGAAAGTCGAAGGTTCTTCTCCAAGCATGGCAATGAGAAAAGATTATCATAAAGAAAAGAAATGCTCTTGAACAACATAATTCCTTATGATTTTTGTGATAACGATTACAAACAATATCAGATATGTTATGGAAATAGTTCATCCTTAGAGCTAGTGGAATTATGGCTCATTCAGGAAGATTAACTCGAAATAATCTTCAGATTTGAATGAAAAAGACACTGATGGTTTCGTGTTGTCATGAATACAAAGTGTTTGTCGTTTTTTTCAACTTGCTCACACAAAAATTTAATTTCGCTGACATATCTCATTGTTCGTCAATTTGAATATGTCATAGATCTCATCTGCAAGAGGATATTGAAGAATCAATCTGTCAAAGTTTGCAATTCCATACACACTCATCTATGAGATCTTTAACAATTTTCTAAATTCTTGAAATAATGAACTAAACCAAAAAATAATAATGAACAACGATTATGTGACTATTGTAATATCTTTAGCGATTCTCACTTATTTCTTGTATAATTAAGGATTAAACTACTTACCTGAAGGAAGTTCAATCCTAATTATACGAGATTGGTCACACCCGAATAGATAACCCTGTCTTTCTATTCGGATGTGACGAATCGAAGTATAATAATGAATGTATGTATACACATGACCTTCCTTAATATGCCCATGAAGTCGAAGAAATATGCACTTGACCTAGTGAGCATTGCAATGAATGCGATGAGTCGATAAAAACTGAATAGCCAGTGTGATTATTCGGAGAAATGAAATTTCCTTTCGAAGCACAGAGTAGTCATTTTTTTAAGGTCATTAGCCGTTTCAAAGATTATAGTTCCATATATTGAATTAGGCATAATAACGACATTTGTTATTGTTAGTCTTTTGAAAAGACTCTTTGTCTTATTGTTTCAAGAGGCAATAAATATTAAGTATATTATTTTCATTGTTTCATGAACTGAAATGAGTTTTGTCGACGATAAGAATCAATATTATTTAACTTTCTTTATTTCGAATACAGAGTGTTTGCAAACCAGTAGCGCCTTCTGAATGGTTTCCAATTAAAATAATGAAAATTAATTCATCAAGATTTGGAATTTTTGCGATTGAACAAATTTTTGAAATGGATTGAGAACTATTGATCACATCTTGAAACTTGGAATTTCTAAGATTCGTACATTCTGAGTCTAGGCAAAAAAAATTGGTATTGATGGTTATAATAATTCATCCCATCATGTAGGCAATTTAATTGATTTCTCTGCTTTGCATGAAGAACCGCTTCATAAGAATTATTCACATGGATCGCTTACTGTTTTTGTATTGTTTTCATTATCATTTGTCCTTTTTTCATTTACATGCTCATGTTGGTTATCAATTATTATCGAAAAATCACCAAAATTCGTCGAGGAATCGTCAAAAATGATTATGTTCTTAAAAAAGATCTCCCAACTATGTGTTTCAACATCAAAAATTCTAGATAATTCTCTTAAATACTGGGTTATTGAATAGTGCAAAGGAATCTTTGACAATATAAAATTCTGACTTTCCTTGGAACTTTTTTTATATTGGTTTATATAATCCCTGAATATAATCACTACCAATATTTCTGACCATTTATACAGGGTGATTCAAATTTGAAGGCACAAACTGAAATGGGTGATCTAATCATTTTTATCAAAAAAGTTCAAATAAACATGAGTCCGATCCCGATCAGTAGCGGAGCAACAGGGGGTCGAAGTTCAATTAATTTTTTCTATTAATTAATTAATCTCGCTCACTTTAGAAGATATCAAGTAGAAATTCAGTGTGGTTGATACTTCCTAGAAGATCATCATTTTGAACAGATTTCTACAGGGTGATACGCTTTTGGGGGTAGAGGCTTCCTTATCCCCCACAAACATTTTCGTAGTACGCCTCTGAAATCTTGCAGTTAAGAAATTTGATATATCGTTCAATTTCGAGGCATTTTTTGCCACTGAATTTTTTCGAAAAACCAACCGTTTTGAGAATACATTAGCATATCCGTTCTAAAAACATGTTAATTTTGCCTATATAGTTTCGCCTGAATTTTATTATTGGATGAAATTCGCAGAAAATGCAACAAAATCTATTGCAATTACAAACTGGATCAGGAGGCGAGAAACAAAGGGTAGAACGTAAAGGTCTTGTTAGTTTTTGTAACCCTGTAGATTTTGAAAATCTTCAAAATGCTTAAAATAATGATAATGATAAATGATGAGATCTATCACACACACACACATTTCAGTTTGCGCCTTAAAACCTGAATCACCCTGTAGACTAGGTGGTCCCGATATTATACTTTGGCTGATGTTGACCCAGATTCACCCAAAAACAAAGTTATCTACTATTTTCTAGAAACTTTTTTCTTAGAATAAATATAAAGGGAGATATACCCTTTCGTAGGAGGAAATACATATTAGTTTAGTAAAGAAAGAAAGAGTCATTATGAAACTGAGATAAATTTCAAATGATTCATAATCGACTTGACGCTGTGACTGTTTAATGATGAATGTCAAACTAATATTTCATTACCTTCTCTATATTTATGAAATTAATGATCAATTGAAAAATTGTGTGTTAGCACGTTTAATGACAATTGCACGCGTTGATTCGTAAACATAAAATTTACGATAACGAAATGCTCGTCGAAATGCGACAGAATACTTTTTTCAATTTTACTAATGCAAAAATGATCTTCTCGAGAGAATATTTAGTTGTGTTCGAAAAACATATAAAACATGGTGGTAAAATATCGTAAAATGAGAACTATCCTGTGAAATTATTCTTTAAGCGAAAGAGAGCTAGGGTTTTACTGATAGCACGAATAGCACAATTCTGATAGGTATATGATGTGAACAGGTGTCTTCATAACAATGTGTTTTATCTTAGTTAGAAATATAGATGATATTTCAGAATGGTCAGATAAATATGCGGGAGAACTGATTCATTTTATTATTTTCCTCCAATGGGTTATATTTTTCTTATTATACATTCACAGAAATGGGTTCATTAAAAATAGTGTTTAAATTATCAGCTCAGACAATTCTGGGCCACTGCGTGTAGTTTTCAAATATTCTAGTGGTCTGATTATAGGTACAGGGTGATTCGCCATAAATGTCCCCTCCCTCTAGCTCAGTAATTTTTGAACCGATTGCAGAATTTTAAATATCATCTGAAATGATTTTCGATAAAGTTTTTTTCCACTACATCAGAAAATACAAGGTGCTCGAAACAAACGATCTACAGGGCACTTTTTGATTCTTTTCAATGGAACACCCTATTTTTCGTTGTATTTTTAGATTCTCCCTGAAGAGCTGATTTCATCGATGTATCACACTTGGGGTCTAGCGAAAATGATTACAGAGATATAGGGTGTTCAAAATCGAGATTTTTTAGCTTAAGGTTTTTTCTGTGACGAAACTATTCATTATGAGTCAAAACGGCTTCCATGTCCGTATCTCAACTTTTGATTCACTATCTACTGATATTTAATAATTGGAACATATACAGGGTGATCAGAATTCTCATTCCCGCTAGACCCCAAGTGTGATACATTGATGAAATCAGCTCTTCTGGGAGAATATAAAAATACAATGAAATACAGGGTGTTCCATTTGAAAAAATCAAGTAGTACTCTGTAGATCGTTTGGTCCGAGCACCCTGTATTTTCTGATGCAACGGGAAGAAAAATCATTTTAGATGATTTTTAAAATTTTTAAATCGGTTCAAAAATAATTGAGCTAGAGTGGGGGACATTTATGGTGAATCACCCTGTATAGATGCAATGAATATGTCACAGATGGACGGTGAAAGCACATCTAGTCACTTCTGCAATGAGAGTGCACCCATCCAACCGCGACATGTTCTTTGCATCTGACTGTATGTACGTCAATTAATATCTACTAAGTAAGATATTATCAATCGAATAGGTCGATTCATTCTACTTAGGTGCGAAGCACTATTTAGTCTTGTTAGAGAGAGTTGAAACTTCAACTGACATAAATTTGCTGAAAGTTCAGGAAACAATTTTTGGGAATAGTGAAAATATGTCCATTGAGTTTTTTTTTCATAAGCTTGATACTCATACCCAGCGAGCACGAAAACATCTCAGAGATGTTAAAAGTACGAGATTTCGAGACATTGAACCTCCACTGCGATGTTCTGTTCACACATGAATAGAACTATTATTGAACAGCCAATGTCCGCCGCAGGCGGCAATTATCGAGATGTCCTTGATATGTCACAAAACTACCTTCTCCCTAGTTCTTTCCAAAGCCTTTTCATGGACACAACAACGCGTCTTGCGCACATTAAATCGCTGTAAAAAAAAACATTTTCGAGGTACTTTTCTGAAGCCTTTTGTCAAAATGAACTTTTGCATTAGGATTCCATTTCCCTTGAATGAAAAAATGCATTGAAAATAGATTGAACATAAAAATATTCCCTTGAAATGAAATTACCTTCTTAATCGGTTTCTGAGTAGTGCTTACTACACACAGACATATAATTGGAAATAGGTTTCCCAATTTTTGGAATGTTCTCCACAATGCATAATTTTGCAACTGCGGAGAAGCTGTGTATTGATAAATTCGTACTTTTATATATTGATTACACTGAGGCACCGAACAACACATCTTGCATCTGATGGTCATTATTACAAACTAAATAAGTCTTCTAACACAATAAACTTCATCAAATTCCTTTCTGTTCGTTAGCAGCGTGATGTAAGCGTGATACCCTGCAAACGCGAATGCCAATTGCGAACAAGAAGAACAAAATCGAAAACAAATCAGGATTCATCGTATTGTGACGTAAGCATGAGACTTTGTGGTGGGGCAAACAAAGAAAGGGCACAAAAGAGCAAAAACAATACTTTCAATATCCTTCTAAGATCTCTTTGGGAAGTGCATATTACGCCTAAAAAACATCCTCATGCCTACATTTCTAAAACATCCCAAAACATCACAGGGATACCTCTCAGTAGGCAAACAAAGAAATGCCACAGAAGAACAAAAACAATACTTCAATATCCTTCAAAGACCTCTTTGGTCAGTGCATATTACGTCTCAAAATAACATCTTCATGCCAACATTTTCAAAACATCCCAAAACATCTCAGGGATGTTTGTGCTCGCTGGGTAGAAATGTAATTTCCTTGAAAGGGTGTAACTTTCCTATCGCCACTTTTTCAGATTCTGATGATACCACTCGCATCAGCATCTTGTTGATTAGGTCTAGAAAGAAAATGGACAGCGCAATTCTTTTAAGTTGAGGAACATGAATGTTAGTGGTAATGCATTTTAAGTAAAAAATGAGAACCCTCCAAATTATACCAGAAAGTAATTTTATGCTCCCCAATCGATGTGTCCTTGCATCTTTATCAAATATTATTTCCTCACGCTTTACCCTGTATTCCAGTGTAAAAAAGTTCCAAGTGATCCATATAGTTGGAGTGTTTTTGATATCCCTCCCTTTCAAATAAATCACTCGCTAGAGCCACAAGTATTTTCAATCAGTTATATGGTCTTTCATTTACAAACCTCCCACTTTTCTAGTGAAAACTACTAGCATTTCGTGAATTTTGAAGGCGATATTATTTCCATCAACATAAACAATTATGAATAACAGCTACTACTAACATGCTCTAACGTTTCAACTGTTGAATCAATTCAATATTCAAATTCTCATGCAGGATATCACTGATGACGTCAGGAAACTACAGGATTCGCTGAATGCTACCGAAGGAAGCATCGAATATCTTCCGAAAGAAGGCTTCCAGCAGATGATAGCAGCATTAGAGGTGAGTTATCATGAACAACTCCCCTTAGTTCTGAACAAATTCAAGGGTTTATCTATGGATGTACAGTCGTATTCGATAAAAAAGCGTATATACAAGTGTTAAAAAGAGAGGATTTCGGGATCCTAGTTCTAGTTGTGTAAAACTGGCTCAGCCAATGCTTTGTGTTTTCGAGAACCTATGACAACTTTACTGTCAACGTTTGGTGAACAGTCATTCCCGATAGCCCGTTTTATGCAGAATAGGATGACGTTAATTTCTCTCTGTAATATACTTGTACGCTTTTTTTTCAATGCGACTGTACGTTATTTCATATAGTCACTTTATCGAAACTAGTCGATTGCTCCCTCTCTCATTTTAGAAAACAAAGCTGTCAATTTACTCCGAAGGCGGTAGGAAAAAAACTATTATTTTCCGTGAAAGGTAAAATATTTTGGCTAAAACATTCTTCATTCTGACGTCAATGAGGGTACCTTAATATACATGGTGTTCCATTGGGAAACGAAAAAAAAAACCGTATTTGAGGTGATTCTGAATTTACGATTGATTTTACCAATACTGTATTAATAACCGACAAATATTTCATTTCGACTCATTTTTTCAAAAGGTTAAAGTAATAATAAACCCCTGACAATATTTTTTTGATATTTGGTATACATGTTAACCTCCACTACCCAATTGACCAATATCCAGGTTCGGATGTAAAAAATTCAACGCCACCAAAACTCAAGCCTGTATTTTCTCTAGAAAGGCGGAACTCAGTATGCCCGATATTATTGTAATGTCTGGCACCACCATCCCCACCAAGCCCACCATATCTATGCTCGGTGTTTCGGTGTTTCCATCAGCAACACTCTTTCATGGGATAATCATGTCAGATCCATCGCAAAAGCTGCTTCACAAAAACTCGGATTCTTGTTCCGTGCGAAAAGCTACTTTACACATCAACTGCTTCTCATGATCTACAAAGCGCAGATACGGCCTGTTCTAGAATACTGTTCCCACATATGCGGTTCAGTACCAAAACATACGCTGATGCTCTTAGATTCCATCCAGAGAAGAGCCATTCGCCTGGTGGATGACGCCACACTTACTCACTCTTTGACATCATTGGAACACCGTAGGAAGGTCGGCGACTTTTCATTTTTCTATCGATACTTCCACGGGAAATATTCTTCGGAAATCTCTGCTATCTTCCCTTCACTAGCAATACCAGTCAGACGAACTAGACAAGCCCAGTCAGCACCCTTTGGTTGTCAACGTCGAAAGATGTCGAACAGCACTTTATCAAAACTCCTTCATCCATAGAACGGTTAGGCTCCAATACCTACCTCCTGTCCCTATCCTTCCTAGGAACGCACGATGTTCTTTGAACATTATAGGAATTTCCTTTCGTGCGCTCCAAGCGATAAAAAAACGATAAAATTGTCGAAAAATCTCAAATTTGAAAAGATCATAGAACATGAAATTGAACTGTGTCCTTTTAATTTTTCTGGAAGATATTTCCATTACCCAAATTTCAAACCTAAATGAGGTTTTCGGGTTTGACAGATTGAGAATGGAATATTTTTGATTCTCATATTGAATTATGAAAATATATCGTAGTATTCATTTTTATTGTGTCGAATAGTTATTCCCTGTATTTCTATGCGTGTATACCACACCGCAATATATATTTAGAGGTACGTATATATTTTTTTTTTCAAATTTGTCAACGATCTGGTACGTTCACGTTTTTCATCAATACTTCATTTCTCATTGTTATTGTAAAATGTATCAATAGTGGGGATCAAAAGAAATAAGAACCATTTTGAACACCTATTTCATTAAAATAAGCTGAATCATTGAAAAATCTTGAAACATTCTCATTGTCAGGTAAAATTTATGGAATAAATTATTTATTGATGAAATATCGCGAAAAATATTGAAGTGATGGCCTGAAAATGTGAAAATAAGGCATTTGAGATTGTTGAAAATTTTCAGTACGGACCTGTGAACATATGGTACTGTACTACAGGCATAATTATGCTGGTAATAACTATTTAACGCGAAGAAAATGAGTTCGTTGAAATATCTTCAAAAATCAATATGGAAAATTCGGAATATTCCGGTTTTACCCATCCAAATCTAAAAAGAAACTTCATTCAAAATCAAACTTGTGATACAGTGACGGCTCGTCAGGGACGGCAGGGTCGGCCGGGCCGTACCAAATAATTTGGGGAAAATTACTGAACTATTTGATGAATGAAATTATTTTCCGAAACTGTTTTCATAATTCATCGCTCATTATCCTACTGTTATGCCACTATTATTTGAATTTCATTCATGGAACCTTTGAGTATGCCATCCGCATATACACCGAAAATCACGAACTAATTCAGGACCTACGACATCTGGTAATCCCATCGTCAAAACGCCGCTTTCAGTCGAAACGCTCGCGTAGCTCATTACACTGATGCAGACGGCCGGCCGATCGGTGATTTCATGTCTCGACGCATCGCCACAGGCATCGCCTACAGATTCCCCGCTTCAAGTTTAAATTTTCGCTTATACGCGTCATACCTTGGGTGCGGCCAAGCTCTGCTGGCCGTCCAACGTATCGATCGTACTTATCAGTATCAGTTGTGCGCTCGCTGTGCACCGTATCGAACCATTCCGACCTAATTTTTAATATACGGATTGGCATGATTGACATTCTATTTTCATTTTACATTGTAGGTATTTATAATTTTAATTCCTATACTTATTTGTAAGTTGATGTTGGAATTTGAAATGTACAAACTGAAAAGAAAAATAATTTCCATGTTTTTGTTTACGCTTGCAGTAGTTGCAGTAAAAATGACTGGTGATTTTTGAATTTGCAATTTTTCAGTAATTCATAATTCAACATATCCATCTAATATTGGTATCAGAATTTTCCTTCAGTGCTTCTGAGCGTCAATAAGTTATAATTCAATTTGAATATTGCTGTAATGTAACCTACTGTGCCTCTGCCTATGTAGGTAATATGGCAAGAAAAATGTCAGCAGTCCAAGAGCTGAGTAGGCATTGAAACATCGTAAAAAAGCTCTGGTGACGAAAATGTAATAAATGTATAACTTCCAGAATATCATTTATTTTCAAAGACGCATGTAGCGGTTATAAACTACCTAAATAATATTTATGCATCCATCGCATCGCGGGAAACATTATACCTACGGCTGCACCCTGCACGCGGGCTCGGCCAGCCGACTACGAAGGAGTGGGGTCAGTGGGGTGGCTTGTTACAGGAACGGCGTAGACCGATTAGTCATTGTTGTGCTTCTCGCGTTAGGTGAGTGGTTGTCGGTTATGTTGATTTTTTTGAGTTTACATTACGTTTTCAACAGAATATAAATATTTTTTGTTCACGAGTTATTTTATTTTTATTTTCTTTCATTTTATTTTTTCGACTTTCTTGTTATTATTTTTTCATACCAACTAACCCTTATCCACCTCCTTTTTCTTTCCCCATTTCCCCTGGCGAGAATGCTCTAACCTCGTGGTTCTTGCTGGACATTTTAATTTTTTGGTTATGTGTAGGTACAGGGTGATTCACCATAAATGTCCCCCCCTCTAGCTCAATTATTTTTAAACCGATTTCAAAATTTGAAATATCATCTTGAATGATTTTTGATTGAGTTTTTTTCCGCTACATCAGAAAATACAGGGTGCTCAGAACAAACGATCTACAGGGTACCATTTGATTTTTTTATATGGAACACCCTATTTTTCATTGTATTTTTAGATTCTCCCTGAAAAGCTGATTTGCTCAATGTATCACACTTGGGGTCTATCGGGAATGATTACAGAGATATAGGGTGTTCAAAATCGAGATTTTTCAACTTTAGGATTTTTTTGAGACGAAACTATTCATCATCGGTCAAGACGGCTTTCATGTCCATATCTCAACTTTTGATTTACTATCTACTGACATTTAATAATTGGAACAGATACAGGGTGATCAGAATTCTGAATCTTGAACCACCCTGTAAATGTTCCAATCAAATCTCAATAGACAGTTAATCAAAAATTAAGATGGAAACATAGGAGCCGTTTCGACCAATAATGAATAGTTTCGAGACAAAAAAATCCTAAACTTGAAAAATCTCGATTTTGAACACCCTATATCTCTGTTATCATTCCCGCTAGACCCCAAGTGTGATGCATTGATGAAATCAGCTCTTCAGGAAGAATCTAAAAATACAATGAAATACAGGGTGTTCGATTTGGAAAAATCGAGTAGTATCCTGTAGATCATTTGTTCCTGATGCAACGGGAAAAAAATTCTGAGAAATCATTTTAGATCATCCTTCAAATTTTTAAATCGGGTCAAAAACAAGTGAGCTAGAGGGAGAAAGGACAATTATGGTGAATCACCCTGTACATGCTTATTTGCCATCGAACTTCACTCAAGCCGCTGACCCACTTACGTTCGCATTTTAGAGCAATATCTATACCCTGGCCGACCCAGGTTCTGAGGGCACGAGCCGTCACTGTTGTGATAATAAGTAGTAAAATTGTATGAGGACGGATTGAAAAACACTCCTTCCAAATTTGAAAGCTAAGTATGAAACTTCGATAATACATCAGGGTGTTGTTTCGATCACAACAATTTTTCGAACTAGTTAAATAGGTCCCAGATTTTTTTTCACTTAGTAGTAAGTTTGACAACGTCGCTTGGGTGAGAGAGCTGAAGAGCTCAATATGTACTGTATATCAGGAAAATTTGCTTGGTAGTTCGTCAATTATGACCTTTACAAAGAAATAAGCCAAATCGATAAATACTTTCTACACGGAGAAAAAAGGTTTGGTTACTTCAACAAATTAATTGTGTTTGAATTATTTTATTGGACTAAATAGATAAATGAACATTTCAGAAAGTGGCTTGTTCAAATCGAGAATGTAGTTTAAGTAATTGAATTAACAGTATAATACTAATTCAATCAACGAAATATATGGTCATCTCAAAAACAAATTTTCTT